ACGCTTGACAGCTCAGTTTTTAGTATCGCCCCCATATTAGTGCTTAACATAAATTAGGGTTTAATAAAATAATAGAATATAACATGTTTTAATTTTAACGCGCTTTTTTAAACTAAATTATTTATTTTTTCACCCTTATTAAAAAAATTTTAGGTAGGCAAACTTCTAAAGATGACTTTAATGATGAACCTTTTTAATATTTATGTTGAAAAAGAAACTGTTATAAGAACAGGTGGTTTTGCGTCGTATAGATCAGCGGTTGTAGATTTTAGTTCTGTTCATCAAATAGTAAACCATAGTATTGGATTTACAAATGAAAATGATGAACATACGAATAAAATTGAATATTTATGGAATTATTTAAAACCGAGTTGCGTACAAGGCGTGGAGTTATGAAAGTAAATCTTGAAGATTTTTGTTGTGCACACAACCACCAATAGCAATTAAGATGATATAGGGTGGATATCTATTGGTAATATTTAAGCAAATGATTGGTTTTGCTACGTCGTTATCGCTATCTTGGAAGCTGTTGGGTCAGATTAAGGAGCTAAAACTATAAAAAGAAATTTATATAAAATAAATATGCCTTTCAATAATTCTTATTCCCTTGGACAGCTTAGTCTGTTCATTATCTATATTTGGAACAATCACCGCGTCGACCTAGGATCCATCAATTTTATTAATGAATTTTAGTTTTAAAGAAAATTTTATATAACAAAAATTCAACAAATTTTGCAATTACATTAAATAAAATAATAGCTCTACTTTTGCAATTTTTTTACCCCTGTGGGACAATGTTTAGTAGCTGCACCACCTTGAAGCCTATATTTAAATGTTCTTATACGGAATCGATCCCATAAATGCTTTTACATGTGACAAAATATTCCCCGACACTTGCTATGTATATCCCACTAAAAATTTTGAATAAATAATTTCACAAGTAGGGATTTGTTGAATAAAGATAGGCTCCAATATATTCTAAATTCTGTAATATATTTTAGAAAAAAAAATTGAATTTTTTAGCCCTTAATGGTATCAGTTATAAATTATAAGGAGGAATATGATTCAATAATGGCTATCCCCTTAAAGCTGCCATTAGAGAGGAATTTGAGTAGATACCGAGCATTTAGGCACCATAAGAAGGCGGAACACTTTCTTGTACTAAATGACACACTCTACTTAATTGTTAAAGACAGACTGCACAGAAAAGTGTTCTACAAGGCCTGGGTCGATATCATGGCATTAGATGTTAAAAGACTTCATGATACCAACAGTTACGGCCATAATGGGATGTATGAATTATGTAAAAATTATTTCTTTACCATACCCAGAACTATTGTGAGAGATGTTGTTGCAAGCTTGTAATACTTGTAAAACATCACAGCCTTTAGAGCAGAAAGAACCATTTAAGCATGTTACGGCCATCTACTCCTTTGAACACATTATGACAGACTTAATCGACCTTAAGGGTTATAAAACAACAAGTCGAAGAATTTTAACCTGTGCTGCACGTTTTTTATATACACCGTTTTAAAAAAAAATTACCCTTATTTTTAAAAATTGAAAATAAAAGGAGAAACCATAAATTATTCAAAACATAGTTTTTTCTTCTTTTCAGACATTCTTAAAAAATAGGCAAATAATTTTGTTTTA